TAGGGCTTCCAGAAAAAAACTTGTCCGGAGAAGAAAAGGTGAGCACTACCATCACTCCTGTGTCATGCCAACAGTAAAGTATCCTGAGACCATTCATATGTGGAGTTGCTTCTCAGTCAAGGGAGTGGGCTTACAATTTTGAAGAAGAACACAGCCATGAATAAAGAATGACTTATATTACTAATAGCACATAAGATTGATAACTTTGATAATGTGCGGGCTCACGAAACATGTTAGGAAGCTGCCCTACTTAGTGACATCACACCGCGCACCCCTCCTGGATGACCGGCGGCCATCTTTGCTATTGTCAATTTACTCGAAGTGTGAGTTTATCTATTTTTATTTATGTTACCCCCGTGATTATATTAAAGCAGTACTGCACTATGGAAAATCTTTTTTGCTTGGGCTCATTTGTTATGAGCCTTCCTTTCTAAGGAGATCCTTGCCGATTTTACACTGCAAGTGTGGCTCCCCCCGGTGTTTGCATGAGTGTACTCCTGGTGCCTGGATGCCCTGATGGTGTGCTGCTTATCCAACTGATGCTCACTAGATGACCCAGTGTTCCAGTTACCAGATGCTGATGACTAGGAGTTGTTCCTAATGTACTCAAATGCGCATTGATTTGTGCTATCTGGTTTGTGCAATCTGCATTCATTTATCTTAACACCACTATCACGGATTTCCACTGATCTACATTGATTGAATTTTACTTCACTTTATGCACTTTTAAATGACAAGTTTGGACGTTTTCTCACAAAGTTTATTTGCACAACGCCATACTGCGTTTTTGAGTTTTATTGATTCAATCGTATGTGCTATTAGTAATATAAGTCATTTGTTAACCATTATATGATTATCCAGATCATACGGATAAAAGTTGGACTTTTTACTTTTATGTTTTTGATACGTTATTAGCTCTGCATGCTTATTTTATATGGTTTACAGAAGGTTCAGGAGTTTTACCTTTCATGCTAGCCGCTTTTCTTATTTACATCCAGCGCTCGTTTTTTACCTATATCATATGAATAAAGAATGGTACAAACGATCCTCCGAGAGCAACTTCTCCCAACCATCCAAGAACAGTTTTGGTGATGAACAGCATGATGAAGCACCTTGCCATAAGGCAAAAAGTGATAACTAAGTGGCTTGGGGAATAAAACATCAAAGATTTGGGTCCATGGCCAGGGAACTCCCCAGACCTTAATCCCATTGAGAACTTGTGGTCAATCATCAAGAGGCGGGTGACCAAAAAAAAAACCCCCACAATCTGACAAACTCCATGCATTGACTATGCAAGAATGGGCTGCTATCAGTCAGGATGTGGCCCAGACGTTGACTGACCGCATGCCAGGTCGAAGTGCAGAGGTCTTGAAAAAGAAGGGTCAAGACTGCAAATATTGACTTTTTGCATAAACTTAAAGTAATTGTCGATAAAAGCCTTTGACACTTAATGAAGTGATTGTAATTATATTTCAGTATACCATAGTAACATCTGACAAAAAGATCTAAAAGCACTGAAGCAGCAGACTTGTGTCAATCTCAAAACTCTTGGCTGTACACCCAATAATGTTATGAGACATTTAGTGGATATAATTTGCCAATTTTCTGTGTGTTCATGTGTTCTTGTCTGATTTCTCCTGAAGAAGTCTCGAAACATGTCGGGCATGTGGGCTGGAGTCTCTTACCTATTCATGGCAGATTTTTATGATTATGTGAATGATGGTAAAATCAGTAACTGTACCATGTTCAGTCTATACAAGATTTGTTAACTCTATGTATGTTGGGTGAAATATATTTCCAGAGCTATTTTTAGCCAGGAACAATAACGTGTATATGGATTTTAATATTTTTTTTCCTGTTTTCTTGTTTGTCTGTGTACCTGTAAAAATCCCAGCCATCCATATTTCCCAGTTGAGCAATAAACTTGACAGGGTTTTTAATCTATACCTACTATATCCAAAAATTAAAAAAACTGTACATACACTTTAATTTCCCTCATGCATGAAAGTGCTGGGTGTTGTGCACTATACCACACAGTATTTAGGATGACTGCCAAGAAATATATAACAATGAAGGGTCAGACACTTTAGTCATGTCAGAATTTCTGTACTGGTCCATTTCCCAAAATATGGAAAATCTCTTGTGCAAATATAAAGCCCTTCTTAGTTCTAAGGCTACATTGACATATGTGTGTGTATTCTTCATGTGGGGTGTTAGCAGTGAGTCTCCAGCACTGTGCAAGCTCCAGATTGTGACATATCATACACAAGGTTACCTTTCTTTGCTCCTGGAGGATGAATGCAGTGACAAGGGAGCAAAAGGAAGGGATCAGTTCAATTAACTTGCATGATTTGTGTCAACTAACTGACATGGTCTAATACACTATTAACAGAAGCCACAGACAGCAAAATGGAATTGGCAAAACAAAATAAAAATGAAGTATTTAATGGCAAAGAAAAAAAATTTATTAACACATTAAATGGCACCAAAAGTTGAGAACAATAATAATAATAATAAAAAAAGGAATAATAAGAATAGTAATAATAATAATAACCGCATTCTCTGGTACCTAACTTCAGGCAATAAAGTGCTAAAATACAATGTAACAATTACATTAAAAACATTAAAAAAAAAAAAAAACACAACCCTTCAGTCTGAAGGATTAAAAAAAATTAAATTAGAGCAAAAAACTAAATTAGTGTCTATTCAAGTAGAACAACAATAAGACAATTAGCTATAGGCAATTTGAATTCTCATGCTGTGTTTCCAGTAAGTTATATGCACTTTACAAAGAGATTATCACCAAGCAATGGCCAGTAGCTTTACTGTCTTAACTGGTGGAAAACCTAAGTTATTATCTGAGGACTACTTTTCTGAGAATCCTTCAGGGTGGTTCACATGAGACATGGCTCTGTCCACTTGCAGGAAACACAAGACAGATTAAAAAGGCCTCCTAGGAGTCAATACCTCAGCAATTTAAAAGATGACAATCCAAATAACCAATACCAAGTAGAAAAAAGAGGGCAGGAGCTCACAGTCCTGGAGAATTCATCGAAAGCAGTTCTCAAAAAATAAAGTAGGTTTTCCCTGAATCATCCTCCATAACAGGATACAAGAGAGTAAACAAGAGGTTACCTATGAGAGGGTCCAACTTGAGCACCTTCCTTTGAAAGTCTAAATGTGAGTGGAGCAGAGGGTGATGTGAAAATGTCTCATGGCATTAAGTCTGACCATGTAGCCGATCTACACATCTGTTCAGATGCACTATACTTTTCTGCCCTGAAGACAGTACTCTGGTTGAATGCACAGTGTACAATTTGTACAGGGCAATTCTTATCAGCAGAAGTGTAAGTCAGAGCAGTCCGTCTAGCTATGGTGAATTCTGAAACTCGCTTAGGCCTGTATCACAGGGGCTGCAGCTTTTATAAAAGTAGTGTGAACAAGCTTTTTATGAATTTTTCAACAAGCTTTGAGCAGCTTTCTCTAAGCTTTTAAAGTACCATTCAGCTCTTTTTTGGAAATGTTATAAATAGATCTTAATGGGAGTGTTGACTGTCAGTTTAAACAAGCAGCTAAGCAGGTTTCAGCAGGCTTTCATCAATCTTCAAGTAGTGCCAAGGCTTGCTAGCAGCTTGCTTAAAGTGGCAATCAGCACCCCCATTAGGATCGCTGAGCTGAATGGTACTTTAAAAGCTTCAACAAAGCTTACTCAAAGCTCTGCAAATGCTTTGTAAAAATGTTCTTTTACACACTGCTCCCTTACAATCTGAAGCCTGTGTGAAACAAGCCTTACTCTGCAAGCCCAAGAGATGGCCACTAAAATAGCTAACTTAACATTTAAATGGAACAAGGACTAGCCAAATGGAGAATTGGTAAGTTGATGAATACTGCAGGAAGAACGCATAGTGGATCTGTTGTGAATTTACTCCAGAAAATGCATGTCACTTCAGCAAAGGTTGCAAGGTAACCAGAGGGAAGCAGGTTTGAGAAATCAGATCACACCTCCAGAACCAGCCAAGGTTGGGACAGGTCTCCATCTACGAGGAGGACCCATTAGCTTGCTCTAGTGTCTTTGGTGAGGGGTAGGCCTCCGACACACGCAGCTGACCTCTAAGGGATCAATATACTAGGAGATCAAATGTGTGTGCGTTTTTTGGAGGCAGGAAGCACAAGAATAGAGCTGCTGACTCCTAGGAGCCATTTTCAATCTTTTTCAGTCTCAGTTTCCTGCAGGTGGGCAAATATTTCACTCTTAAATAATCCCGAAAGATGATTCTGGGAAAACAAACCAGTAGTTCATACCAACAAGTCATGCCTAACCTAACATGCAGTGGCATCTAACTGCATGCTACAGAGAGAACAGACAGTTTGTATATACAAGGCGTTATGTGGTTTCATTTAAAGGCTTAATTGCTGGAACTCGCATTGCCCTTCTTACTACATATGCGCTGGTTCTGCCAGCCTGTGTAAAGACGTGTAACAATGCTCCCTATTGAAGAAACATTTTTTTTTTTTTTTTACCATAGGTGTCCCAGCTACCTATTGTCATTACATACAGTAAATGCACATTCTAGTCTCTGTAGGCAACCTGGTTTCAAGCAGACAAACTATAGACACCTTAAGGATAACAGACCGTAAATATTAATCATGGCACTTAATAATCATGGTGATAAATGACCTTTAAAATGTAATACTTCATATGGAAACACCTGGGAATGTAAACATATTTTCTCCTTCTTCAACTGGTTTACAAATGTAGTATTTATCAATCACGTAGATTACTATGCTTGCTACACTCAGCAAGAAAATGAATGTTTGAAGAAGAGATTAATCCTTCATATGTGTGCATTGAAATAGCCAGAATAGGGCCAATTTTAAAATATGAAGAGAAATACAATAGACCAAATAAGGGAAGAGATGCAAGGAAATAGCGAGTCAAGGGCTGAACCCCATTATCCTCAAATACTATCCATTCTAGCATTTTTAATTAATTTATTTTTTTAACAGCAGCCAGAAGACCCTCTCCCTTCTGCCTGGCTTTGTCTTGATCCTCCAAGAGGCTCCGGAAGTGTCTGTTGTGGTCCAACCTTAATACCATTAGCCTTAAAGCAAAAGGAGCAAAATGAATAATGTTAGATTAGTACCATGATCAACATGCCACCATCAAACACATGATCAATTCCTGATCCTTACCTCATTGTTTACATCGAAGAGCCCCTGCTGAATTTTCTTGTAAATTTCTTTGGCAGTGCCAATAAAGGCCTTAGAGACAAAAAAGAAAAGTCACACGCTTAAAGCCATGAAAAGTAGTAACATTTTTATGTCTGGCATGCATGCCTCAATCTTACCTCCTCCACATTTGCTGCAGTTTTGGCAGAGGTTTCCATAAATATCAGGCCATGTTCTCTAGCAAATGCCTCTCCTTCCTCCCTCGATACATCTCTACGGCCCTCCAGATCACTGAGGAATAATTGTAAAAATAACCCATGTGTGGAATACGGTGTATAGATTTTAACATATAAAACTAAACAACAAATAACCTGTGCTCCTGTATGCTAAACAATTTGTGACCAAAATAATTGTGACAACAAAACAAATAAAATTTGTGTTGAAAGAATGCTGCTGAACAAAAGCAAATTACACGAACACATAATAATTACTAATAAAACAAAGCGCATTGAAAATAAAGTCCTTATATTTAGTGCATCATGCTCCAATATCACATGCTCAGAAGAAAAATCCAAACTGAATATCCCGTGCCTTGAAACAACAAAATTTCCACCACGTAGTGCTCAGTGATCCCTCCCCTGTGCACTCCACACTCACCAGATATGGTGGACTGCTACCTTTATGGGCTTACGAGTCAAAAACACTTATCTGTGGTGGAATGTGCTGACAGATATTTCCAGAATTCATTAGAGTGCCGGACCCATGGTTTTATTATAAAAGGTATGATCCATCAATAGATTCTGTTTAACATCATGTGGATAATAAAGGGAAGCAAAAGGAAAACTGATAGTGTAATCTTGTCATACCATTTATTTAGCTATGAATAACAGTATATATTACACTCACATTCCATAAATAATAAAATAGCCTTGTAAGGTATAATGCTTGAATAGCCTCAAAACAAAAAGGTAATAGAGCAATATCGAAACTGCCTGGAGCACCGTTGGTTTGCGTGCGGTCCACTCATCGGATGTGACGTCATACCAAACCGCCGTAAATTGCGTCAACGCCTTTCGCCCCTCCTATTTGGCAACCTCAGACAGTAATCTCTGGTTCCTGTCTTCTTTATATCTTATTCCTAAGGACCTCCCATTCTAGTGACTCACTTCCTACTAATATACTTCCTGAAGGGTGTGTACTGGCTTCAAACCTATGGTATAGTATTGTATATCCGACACCCAACCATTTTGATCGCTGAATACATCATATTACATATAAAACATAAAAATAGTTTTTAATAAATGGTTAAAATGATTAAAATAATACAAATTGAAATAAAATAATGAAAAAATGTAAAATATAATCAAAATAAAAACTGTTAATAAATTCTATGAGTAATACAAATGCCACAGAAAATATGCATTCTGACTGGACCAAAAATGGGGGTCACCCCAAACAAATAATCTAGGTGAACTTGGATATTTTTTTACCAGTTGATCAGGAAACAATTCAAATCTATTTCTACATTTAACCCTTTGAGAACTAGAGTATCTAATTTTTTAATCTATCTAGTTTCGTGCTGTGATATTGATTTTTTTAAATCACTGACCTGTACCTTCTTCTTTAAGAGGCTCCTCTGCCCTGCACTCATTACCTGTATCAATGGCACCTGTTTGAGGTTGTGGACAGGTGTCTTTTATACTGATAACAAGTTCAAACAGTCACACTCCAAACTCCACTATGGTGAAGACCAAAGAGCTGTCAAAGGACACCAGAAACAAAATTGTAGACCTGCACCAGGCTGGGAAGACTGAATCTGCAATAGGCAAGCAGCTTGGTGTGAACAAATCAACTGTGGGAGCAATAATTAGAAAATGGAAGACATACAACACCACTGATAATCTTCCTCGATCTGGGGCTCCACGCAAGATCTCACCCCGTGGGGTCAAAATGATCACAAGAGCGGTGAGCAAAAATCCCAGGACCACACGGGGGGACCTAGTGAATGACCTGCAGAGACCTGGGACCAACGTAACAAAGGCTACCATCAGTAACACACTACGCCACTAGGGACTCAGATCCTGCAGTGCCAGACGTGTCCCCTGCTTAAGCCAGTACATGTCTGGGCCCGTCTGAAGTTTGCTAGAGAGCATTTGGATGATCCAGAAGAGGATTGGGAGAATGTCATATGGTCAGATGAAACCAAAATAGAACTGTTTGGTAGAAACACAACTCGTCGTGTTTGGAGGAGAGAGAATGCTGAGTTGCATCCAAAGAACACCATACCTACTGTGAAGCATGGGTGTGGCAACATCATGCTTTGGGGCTGTTTCTCCACAAAGGGACCAGGACGACTGATCCATGTACAGGACAGAATGAATGGGGCCATGTATCATGAGATTTTGAGTGCAAACCTCCTTCCATCAGCAAGGGCATTGAAGATGAAACGTGGCTGGGTCTTCCAGCATGACAATGATCCCAAACATACCGCCAGGGCAACGAAGGAGTGGCTTCGTAAGAAGCATTTCAAGGTCCTGGAGTGGCCTAGCCAGTCTCCAGATCTCAACCCCATAGAAAACCTTTGGAGGGAGTTGAAAGTCCATGTTGCCCAGCGACAGCCCCAGAACATCACTGCTCTAGAGGAGATCTGCATGGAGGAATGGGCCAACATACCAGCAACAGTGTGTGCCAACCTTGTGAAGACTTACAGGAAACGTTTGACCTCTGTCATTGCCAACAAAGGATATAGAACAAAGTATTGAGATGAACTTTTGATATTGACCAAATACTTATTTTCCACCATCATTTGCAAATAAATTCTTTCCAAATCAGCCAATGTGATTGTCTGGATTTTTTTTCTCATTTTGTCTCTCATAGTTGAGGTCTACCTATGATGCCAATTACAGGCCTCTCTCATCTTTTTAAGTGGGAGAACTTGCACAATTGGTGGCTGACTAAATACTTTTTTGCCCCACTGTAAAACACCCAGCTACGATTAAATATCACCAAAAGAAACTCTATTTGTGTAAAAAAAAAATGATAATTTCATATGGGTACAGTGTTGCATGACCGCGCAATTGTCATTTAAAGTGAGACAGCGCTGAAAGATGAAAATTGGCCTGGGTACGAAAGGGGTATAAGTGCCCGGTAGGCAAGTGGTTAAAGTGGGTGGGAATATACAGCTTATTTTCTTTTTTATATATGGTGAGGTCCAAAAAAATTAATGGATTCCCCATCTACATTTTCAGAAAAAGAGATATACTTACTATTGCTGATCTCTATTCTGTAGAGCCATATCACAGCATCCAATGCATCATCCTGTCCGATATTAGTATACAATGAGTTTACATCCACTCTAGTGATGTGGGCTCTACAGAAAAATAATAATCTGAAGTAAAAAAAATAGAGATTTTTTTAAAACAGGCCCTGGATTTAGCTATGAGTAATAATTTCTTTTGGCACAGAGGTAAATACTATAGACAAAGGAAAGGGGGTAGCAATGGGTGCTAAATATGCACTCTCAGTAACCAACCTTTTTATGAGTAAATGGGAACATGAGTCAATCTATCGTAGAGAGAGCTTGGAATTAAAATTATACAAGAGATACATCGATGATATCTTTAGTGTATGGGAAGGATCACAGGAATCCCTCTTAGAGTTCATCAAAGAGATCAATAATAAGTATGATATCTCACAAATTTTTTTGGACCTCGCCATATATAAAAAAGGAAAAAAAAGCTGTATACTCGCACCCACTTTAAAGATGTGGATTGGAATGGATATATTCACAAACACCGCTGCCATCATCCTAGATGGCTAAATACAATCCCAAAAAGCCAACGAATGAGAATCAAACGTAATTGTGATGAGACAGAAGAATATGAGGAACAAGCAGATATTTTAATACAAAGATTTGAAGAATCAAAAATTGGGTGAAGGGAGTGGAAAGAGAAGAACTGCTAAAAACTAAGAAAAAGAAAGTGAAAGACTTTGGAATAGCATTTATTACAGGGTATTCTCGACAACATAAGTTGGTAGAAGGAGTGTTTAAGAAATATTGGCCAATTATCTTGCAGGATGAGATCCTCAAAGGAATTTTTACCAAGACACCACAATTTACTTATATGAAACCAAGCACACGGAGAAACAAATTAGACAAAAATGTGATAGACCCCCCCCCCCCCCCCAAAAAAAAAAAAAAATAGGTACTTTTTTAGATCAAGTAGGTTTTTTTTTTTCAGCTGTGGAAGGTGTTTAGCATGTAGTACAAAAACTGAGATTTTCCAATCACACACAAAGGGAAACGTTTTTTAAGATCAAACCATTTATTACATGTGTGAGCACCCATGTGACTTACCTTTTAGAATCTCCTTGTAAATTGCAATATGTGGGGAGAACAACAAGGAAACCTGGAGTGGGTTTGAGTGAGCATATTAGAAACATCAAAAAAGGATTTATGCATTATAGTTTATCCTATCATTTTAGAAAGTTTCATAATAAGGATCCTGCACTTTTGAAATTCTGTGGGATTGATAAGGTGGAGCCCTTCTAGAGAGAGGGTGATTTAAAAACATCAGTATTGGCTGCTAGACGGGTTATACCACGATTCTGGAAATCAGTTGATGCCCTCACACTAAATCATCTTTTAAGAACAATCTCTGAAATGGAATATCTTACAGCTCTAGTGGGTGACTACTTAGGTCATTTTTGATCTATTTGAGAATCATGGGATCATTCTCCCTTTGGTAGACTTCTTTCCTCTCTCCCCCCCCCCCCCCCAGACTCCTCTTTACTTACCAAACCTCTGACAACTAATGTAACCCAACAATGTGCAGGTTTATGTCATTTTGTGTTCTTGAATTGTACAGTTTACCATGCTGTCTAATTATCACATTTCTTTTGTTTCTGTTCTCCTTTATATTGATTGTGGCTTTCTCTTACTGCAACAATCACACCTAAAGTGTTGTTGTAACTTTGTTCTGAAAAAATGGGCTTTGGCCTTTAATAAAGATCTACAATATTACAAAAAAAAACCCATCAATATCACAGAACGAAACTAGATGAATTAAAAAATTAGATACTCTAGCTCTGAAAGGGTTAAATGTAGAAATAGATTTGAATTGTTTCCCGTCCAACTGGTAAAAAATATCCAAGTTCACCTAGATTATTTGTTTGGGGTGACCCCCATTTTTGGTCCAGCCAGAATGCATATTTCTGGGGCATTTGTATTACTCATAGAATTTAACAGTTTTTATTTTGATTATATTTAAAATTTTTTCATTATTATTTTATTTCCGTTTGTATTATTTTAATCATTTTAACCATTTATTAAAGGCTATTGGTTTCTATGTAATATGATGTATTCAGCAATCGGAATGGTGGGGTGTAGGATATACAATATTATACCATAGGTTTGAAGCCAGTACACCCTTCAGGAAGTATATTAGTAGGAAGTAAGTCACTAGAATAGGAGGTCCTTAGGAATAAGATATAAAGAAGACGGGTCTATGAGGACGCACTGTAGGAGGGGCGAAATGTTTTGATGCAATTTCCGGCAGTTTGGTGTGACGTCATGTCCGGTGAGTGGAGCGCACACAGAGCCATTTTGATATTGTTGTATTACCTTTGTTTGAGGCTATTTAAGGATTATATCTTACAGGGATATTTTATTATTTATGGAATGTGAGTGTATTATATACTGTTATTCATAGCTAAATAAATGGCATGACAAAATTACACTATCAGTGTTCCTTTTGCTTCACTGTATTATCCACATGATGTTAAACAGAACGTATTGATTGATCTTACCTTTTATATTACAACCATGGGTCCAGCACTCTAATGAATTCTGGAAATATTTGTGAGCACATTCCAACAGAAATAAGTGTTTTTGAACTCTTAAGCCCATAAAGGTAGGAGTCCACTATCTGGTGAATGTGGAGTGCACCGGGGAGGGATCACTGAGCACTACGTGGTGGAAATTTTGTTTCAAGGCATGAGATATTCATTCTGGATTTTTCTTCTGAGCACGTGACACTATATTGGAGCATGATGCACTAAATATAAGGACTTTATTTTCAATGAGCTGTGTTTTATTAGTAGTTATATTTTAACATATATCAACTGCACTAGGGATAATTTACTAAACTGAAAGCGATACAAAAAAGGTCCTTTTTTTTTCGGTAAAATAACAAACATGTCTATACTTACCTGCTCTGTGCAGTGGCATTGCACAGGCTCTCCTGGCTCATTATTTTTGTTGGGTGCCCCCATAGTAAGCAGCATGCTATGGGGGCACCCGCAGCTCCGTATTTCCATTCGCTGGATCTCGATGGGGCTCAGGTAAGTATTGAGGGGGCTGGGGCACTGCTGCATACAGTTTTTTCACCTTCATAAAATGTATGAAGGTAAAAAAAACCTTGAGCCTTTACAACCGCTTGAACTCTACATCAAGTCCATATTGCTGGGGGTCCAGGGTTAGTGAAGGAACAAGAATGGCTATGCAAGTGCAAGAAGAGTTTAGCAGATATTGCAGGAATCCCCTACATTCTTTTTCACAGGTATTCCTTCCAAGAGAGAAGGAGGTAATCCTGTCTCTAGAGGAACCACCATAGGGATAGCAGAGATTAATTCTGAACATTGCTTTCTGGCCCCAAGATAGGACTGCAAATTGCCATTGTTTAGTGATATGACAAATTGTGTTCTCGCAACTAACCGCAGTTTTATTAGGACAACTGGCATACAAATCACTACTAGTAGTAATATAGAGTTGCTTATAAGCCAAAATAGTTCAGATCTGGCAGAATGTTTTGTAAACATTGGAAAATGAAAGGATTACTTTAAAGAGAACTAGTCAGGAAAAGGGCAATTGTACACTATTTAGTTGTTAGCATACTGCAGTCTTACTTCAGAGACTGGTGTTGCTATTATTCACTTTAATTCTCTTCCAGTCAGAGCAGACACATCACCTCAGTATCAGGCTGTAAGAGGTTGACATATCTCCTGTCTGAGCTTAGGACTGTTGACTGACACTTTATAAAGGCTGCCTAAGGATGGTGTAAGAAGTAAGGCTGTGTTAAAAAAAATTTATGAGTGGAAGAGCCAAAATATTACTAAGGCCCATTGGTAGCTGGTTCTGCTTAAAAGTAGAGCTATCTCCACTGGAGAGCCAAAGAAGATGATATAGGTCAAGACTCTGGAGCACCTACCAAATGATAAAACTATTAGCTTTGGGTGCACTAACCCTTTAACAACATAGGATGCACAGCTGTAATATTTATACTCAAACCTTGTCCTTAGTGTGCAAATAGTTATAGCTAATATGTGAAAATTATCATGTATACTGTATATGACTGAAACAAAAAAAGAGAAGGAATGATACAATGAAAAGCTCACCTTTTGTTCCCAATTAAAATGATCACCATATTGCTACTAGAGTGTTGTCGTGCATCTTCCAACCATGATGTTAAATGGCTAAATGTCTCTCGTCTGAAAGACAAAAAACAATTCTAAAACATTTGTTCCAGCATTTTTACACTTGCTTCTCACGACTCCTCTAAAATGAACTAATTCCTTATTAAAATTAAAAAACAAACAAACCCACATTAGGTGGTTTTTTAACAGGTCAAATTTCTGCTTGCATAACGCACCATATGTCACTCAGTGCTTCCAGACATGGTGAAGCATGTTGACTTTCAGTATGCAATATTTGGGTCTGAGCAGCTAACCATCAAGTTCAAACATTGTCCCAAGACAGAAAGGGGGACTTTATCAACTCTATGTCAATTGGAATGAGCAACAGGGTAAACAGCTTGAACTACACAGCACCACATCCCAGAAGAAAAGGGAGGAAAGGAGACTTTTAAGGTGCTATATACAACCTCAAGAAATGGACACACAACTTGTAATGTAAATGAGCTCATTCATTTCATTTAGCTTTATGAAGTGATTTAATACATTTTTGTTTAAAATAAAGTACTGGAAAAATGGGTTAACCTAGAGGTTGTGTGTTTATTTCTTGAGGTTGTGTATGGCACCTAATGACTCCCTTTTCCTCCCCTTTCTTCTGTGTATCTGACCCTATGTCAATTCTGACGCCATCAGATACAGTGCTTACAAAGAGTTAGGGGCTTCTGAGCAACAAAATGATGACGGAGCGTGGAACTGATTGGAATATCAGAACATCAAAATTCTATTTTCAGTCACAGATGAATTTGTTACTTTAAAATATAACACTACAATAAAAACAATATGGTAGAAGCCCATTCACACTGCTCAGGGCCAGTACAGTAGGTTATGAAGCACATTTACATGCCATTTCAACGGGAAGCTCAAAGCGCAATGGTTAAAAATTTGTACTTGCTGCATTTTTCATAAATGCAACTCACAGTATATGTTACTGCATGTTACACTGGAAGTGCGTTGGGGCACTATTCAAAATGAATGGCACCACAACATACATATTGTGCACTACCACAGGACTGTGGTGTGAATAGGTCCCGATGGTTTAATAGTGAACAAACTAATGTAAAATTATAGAGTACACAGAGAGTATGATCCACAGCACAGAACTGTGCCAGTGTTACAAAGGTTGCCATTTTCTCTTACCTAGTGATGTCATACACAAGGAGTGCTCCTGCAGCACCTCTGTAATATGACCTGGTTATAGAACGGAAACTCTCCTGTCCAGCCTGGGTAGAATAAAGGAAGATGGAATATTTGATAAGGTATATTTTAGATCAACATTAAACAACCACATGGCACACGCAGCATATTACAATAAAGCAAATAAAAAGCATCAGATACTCAGTACATCCAAATGTATCAGCCTCTTCTATGAAAATAAGAATATGGCAGCCATTCTGAACACTGCAAGATCTGGGGCTGTAATTCTGAGGCTGGCTGCACTACCTAGTGAGTTGCTCACCTACAACATACACTCACTGGCCACTTTATTAGGTACACCTTGCTAGTGCCAAGAAAATATCCCCCCCACACCATTACACCACCAGCAGCCTGAAGTGTTCATACAAAAGGCAGGATAGATCCACGCTTTCCTGCTGTTTACATCAAATTCTGATCCCACCATCTGAATGTCGCAGCAACCAGTCTGCCCATTCTCCTCTGACATCAACAAGGCATTTTCCCATTCTGATGCTTGGTTTGAACTTCAGCAAGTTGTCGCCACCACGTCTAGATGCCTAAATGTTTTGAGAGTTGCTGCCATGTGATTAGCAATTTGTGTTACCAAGCAATTGAACAGGTCTACCTAATAAAGTGGCTGGTGAGTGTACATGAAGATAGGAGTTCACACTTGACCCCTGGTTCACGTATACATGCAGCCGTGCAGGCCGCATTTTGCGTGAGTAAGAGAGCCCATTCATTTGAATGGACTCCCATGCCCCGTGACACGCAGGGAAGAAGTCCCTGCACTTGTTTTAAAACCCAGCCCGCGCAGGAACCTCGGTTTCCAGTACGGTTGCGTTTTCCAGTGCAGTGGTGTGCCATTAGAACTAATGGCACCCGCATGCGCTCCGCATTCCTCTGTGTGGGTGGTGCAGATCCGCAGCGGCACCACCCGCACATATGTGAACCAAGCCGTACTCACTGTATGCTTGTTCCAAGTCAGTAATTCAATAAACGGACCCAAAAGTATATTTGATTAAAAATCAATGTTGTTCCCGGTTCATATTATCTACTGCATTAGTGAAATTCCATTCATAACATTTCCTTTTTAAATGCAGTGAAGAAAGGTTCGATCCTGACAGATTTTTCCTGCCTCGCGTTCCTGTGTAGGATACAACCCCCTGTATATGCAGTAAAGCATGCTTG